TTTTGGGCGAAAATATGTGCTGTTAATCAGGAAACAATGTTCCTCTCTCTCTTCAAAAATGTACAAGAACTCGTGCGAAATATCTGTGATGTGATGCTAGCTGTGATGAAAAAAAACACGAAAGAGTAAAAAATCGCCAAATTTCGAAGAGGACTTCGAATGTAAATTTCCAAGTGCAGTATCAACTGAATGACGGAATATTCCTCAGAATTTTCAACTCTTGTTGAGTAAATGTTTCACACGTGTTAACTTCTGTGAAATGAGTTAGACGGGGATGTTACGTTCCAGATTCACCTTGAATGCGACGAATTTACTCATTCGACTTCCACAGCTTGCAGTAAAGCCAAAAGAGAGAAGCGTAAACGTTGAAGATTTCATCAATCGTTCTTGGAATGTTCGTGTCCTCTTGGTGCGAAGTGAAACGATCGAAGTGAATTGCGGATTGATGCAGTTTCTGTTCCGCGAAATTTTTCAGTGGTCCGCGCGCGGGTGACGGTTTCTTTCGATTCCCATTTCATTTTTTATTCACGGCGTTGAGAGCTGGGCCCGGAGATTGTCGCCATAAACTGGTCTGTCAGCGGCTGATTTGAAATCCACTCCCAGCCGTGCCTGCCAGAGGAAATCTCGGGGAGCATAAAGAGATTTTTACATGCGAGCTGGATCGCGGCACTCATTTCGCCGGGCCTCGGGATGATTGCTCCCCCGCGGACGGGGCCCGGACGTGCCTGCAGGTCCCAGCGTGCCACGCGTGAAAGCTCGGCACCGGGATTTCCGCCGGGAGCGCATGAATGGGAAAAATGCCAGAAGAGCACGGGCGCGATTCGCACGCGGGATCCCGGATTTATGATCGGATCCCTGTTGTCGACATCGGAGTCGCCAGGTTGTACCTGAGAAAGCGTGGCTTTCGTATTCCTGCTGGCCGTTGATCAGAGCGGTCTAAAAGCTATCCATGCAATCTCCACGTTTTTCCGACGCTTTTTCGAAAAATGGACCTATCTTTCCGTTCCACCCGCACCATGCATGATTCGTCCAAGAACCCCTGGTCTCTTCATGAACATTTTTAAAATTTCCGTTTAGAAGATAAGAGGGGCCCCTCATAACAAAATAAAAACTTCCTCAGAAAAATGAACTGCATAGCGAGGCGAAACATACATAGCATAGCATTGTTATTCTTCCCCAGCCATCCGCGTAAAAATAAGCCGTAGATGCCCTATGGGAAATCACAATCCACATAACCAACTCCCCTACGAACAAATGCTGTTCTATAGTGAATCCGGTTCATTATGATGGAGCGCACTGTATCGGCCACCTGAAAAAACCGACACCAGCTTGATTACGAGCACACATTTTTGGATGAAAAAAACGGTATATACGCCGTCAATCCGGAAAAATGTGGCTTATTGCCTCTCAAAGCCGACTGAAGCAATTCTTCTGCAAGAATCCTCAAAAACGTAGTGAATATGAGACTTGGTTTGGGTGAAGGTCTTGCGAGAACAAGAGACAGAACGCACTCGGAAGTATGAGGATGTTATTCAAGTCCGTTAAAACCGTATACAGTACAATATGCAGGTCAATTTGCATACAGATATCCCTTAATCCTGAGCACATGATACATAATGACACCATTATAGTCTATACTCGAGCATCTCTGGAGTGAAGCCTGCACCTGAGTTTCCCGGCACATTTCATGTCCAAAGAGTGCCCAGCCATTATCCACATAAATGCATTGCTTCATATTTCATCTACAAATGCACCATTTTGCAACGAAAGCTTTCCTTGTGCTGCTGGTTCCAACTAAAGCGTAAGGTTATAAGACACATGAGTCTGCGATCTCCATCTGCAGCACTCAGCATCCCCGATTACTTTTTCGTAATGATAGGTGGTGCGAGTCACCCAAGTGCCTTATCTGTTAACACTACACTAGTGAACCAGAAAAGCGACCCTGACACCAGCCCTCCATAAAGTCAGACCTTCGAAACTTTGCATCTTACTCTGGCACTTCGTTATATCCCCAGTCTCGGTCGCGGAACTCGAAAATTTCCAACGGAAGATTTTTTGTGTGCATGAATGAAGTTCCTCGCGACGCCCACGTCGCGAAATTTGTCTTTTGGCTGCTGTATGCACTCTTCAGGAACTTCATTGATTTAATTACCTTTGCATTATGAAGAACCGTGGGAACGTTCGACGCCATGGTGTCCCCGCGTTTGCTTGACTGGGAACGAAGCAACCCAGGCAAAAACTTTCGCTCCGACGAATCCTCGGAATAAAAGCTAACTCGACGCTTTTGTCCCTCAATCTCGCACGCAATTCTGCTCGACATCCTCCGTCCTCACGTTCCTTTTTTTCATCAATGCAAACCACAGCAGAACTCGACTTTCAATCCCAATGAAATTCTGAGTCACCTTCGGGAAATGCCAAAGTTCACGGATTCAAAATGTATCTCGGCATTGAATTCGCCTCTAGCAGACATTGAGTTTCAAGATACAGTATACTGCTGCGATCCAGCGATTGACTCATTGCTTCGCGGAATAATTCTCTGCAGTTCATATACGAAACTTTCTTTGGGTCATCTGTCGACGTCATCTGGGAGAAACTTTCGAGATGTCACCTTCGGATGCACTTTGCAGAAACTAACTCCTTCGCGAAATGAGGATCGATTCTTTCATCACCTGGAAGTTCATCTGCAAAATACATGGCCTGTGGTTCAAAGAAAGAAGATGAGTGAAATATTTTGTCTATGTTCCTAGCTCTGGTCAGACATGTAAAGTATCTGATCGTTGATTGTGTCGAAGCTTCAAATTAGTCATAAAAAGTGGGTGAAATAATGATGTTAACTTCGCCGCGCAATTGTTCTCAAAATAAATTCAATTTTATAAGGAAATACCCGCGAAATCAAGATTAGTATGATGAACATTAGAAAAAGAACCACGAATCCGAGATAACAAGATGTGTGAGATGTGTGTAGATCAGAAAGATGCGTTGTTCTTCAAGATCAGCGCAGAAATGTTAGTAATGTACTGCATAAAAGCGCTTCAGATGCTACGGTCACTTTTGCATCCTTGAATCATTAATGTTTTATTATTCTTAAATTAATCATAAGATCATCCGATATGGTCAGGCTAGTTGATAGAGGTTCTCTTGCAGCGTCAATCGGATTCAAGCGACGCCATGCATCATTGGTAATTTATGACCAATCACCGTAGTTGCTCCTAAAGCGCCGCACGATTCCAAACATTAATTGACATCAGTTCATATGTTGACTTGCTCCGGGTCAATATGTTCAATATATCGACGGAATGACGTCCGATGAGTGCAAAGCTTCATCGGATGAAAGGAGCCGCTTATGGGATGCCTTCCTAGTCGACTGCTGGGGCACGGTCATCAATCCAAGAGCATCATGATTGAGTTGTCCCGCGTACTGTCGCCAAGGAATTATGTTCCTATGCTGCTACGGACTTGCGTAATGTGCAGTCGGGGGATGTCTTTTTCAGAAGCATGAATGAAGCAGAAAAACGAAGGCACTTCTTCATCAAGGGGGGGGGGGGGCGAAACCTCAGGCGGTATTTAGATTTATGATCGGATCCTAGAAGTTGCCGGCGACAGCGTCACCCGGCGCTGACACGTTGCGTATAGGGAACCGAGGCGCTGATGGGCTTTGGAAGCCGTCCAGGCCGAATTCGCGCAGAACCCGTGACGTCACGGGTTTCTGGTCTTTTGTTCCGGTGCTGTTGGGGAATCAGACTTTCGGGTCGTTTGTCTCGGATTATAGTTCAGAGCTTCACCGGAGAACTGCTGGACTGAGAAAGAACAGCTCTCGCGAAACATCCCTCAGCGGCGTAATTCCCTTCCGGACGGGCCCCGACAAATGTCGCCTTCCGATGACGTCTTGACTTGAGTACTGTGATATATTTTGTTTTACAAGCTTAGGCATTTCACTTGCATTGCTATACTGTACACCGTTTCCACCCAATTAGAGAAAATTGGAAATTTGAAGTTTTGATTGAGTTGCACATGTTTCGTTTATACAATTTTTAAAAGAATTGTAAACGACACACAGATAAAAAAAACAAACCTTTTTTATTGTGTACTCTCATTTCTTCATAATCGCAATCAATTGATGTTCATTATCTTCAGAATTAGTGGTCTGTTCAATTTACACATTCTTGCTCTATCGCCCCATTATCTCTAATAACATTTGACGAAAGTCAGGGTTCAGACTCCTGATGTGCCCTTCAACAGAAAATATAGGCGAAATCGTGGTTTAAAAAAACCGCTCGCGATCCGAAATTTCGTCACACCGAAACATTTGTTGAATCGATATTTTCTGAAATACGAGATCAAGTCCTTCAAAGCTGATTCTCCTTTAGACGAATCAACGTACAATACTTGAACTAATAACAATGTTTTTGAGCATAATAACTCGTTTATTCCGATAACATGTTTCTCTGGTGAAAATATATTTGTTTATTCGTGTGAGTGTAAGGAAAAAGGCTGAAAAATAATACAAATAGCGAATACTGTAATTTAGAATTTACTTAATTCAGTAAATTCGTTGTTGTAAGATTCTTCAGCCCTGATGATTGCATGAAATTTTGTTCGGGACCTTTACAATACTTCGTTATAATTTAAAATAATTCTTATGGGACAGTATTCGTCATAAAAGAGCTTGACCCGTCGTGCGGCTGTTTAATCATGCGTAAAAAACTTTTTAATTATATTGTATTTAGAAACTTTTTATGGCATATGGTTTTGTCCTCGTCCTGGGGAAGAATTTTTTCCACCTTTTTCAGACCTCTCCTTTGTTTCGAGTTCAGGCCGCAACTTCAGACACTGCAGCTCATGTGAATTATATTTATTATTTACAGACAACGAACGTTTCAGCGGATTTTTGGAGAAGGAAGTGGGGCATGTTGTTACATGAATTAGGATCCTCAGTTGTTTGACACGTGTCACTTTATGTATTTTCCATGAATTTTTATCACTGTGTTCTTACTTTATAGGGTGCTGGATGTACGGCGTTGCTGGTCGCAGTGGTGTCACGAAAACTGGAACTGACTCGCGCCGAGAAGCACGTGCACAATTTCATGATGGACACGCAACTGACGAAGCGGGTGAGTGTCAGGTCAAAAGTCGGCATGGTCTGATTCCAGTGTTTCAAACCACACTCACTGTTCAAACATATCTCAATTGTCTGAAGTGTTTCACCACTATATATATACAGATGACATGCCGTGGTACACGCGAGAAACGAAATTTTCTCCGGGTCACAGCACAAACGTTTCCTTCATCTTGCTCTGCACGAACGTGCTCAATCACCCGACTTTAATGAAATGGCGTGCCAACTACTGAAGTCCATCATCAGTTCCCCGAGGAAGCCCATTTGCATAAATTAAAATGAACTCTGGGAAACTGAAAGTGCTGGTAGTCACAAATTACCAATGCCCACTTCTCGGAAGTAGTATTTTCAATTATGCGTTGCGAGTTTTCATAAATTACAAGATTGTTTCGACTTGAACCCTTTCAAGTGTCATTTCCGCATGGTAAACTCAATGCATGAATGAATATTCTGGCTAAAAAGGAGCTAGATTGTCGTATAAGGGTCTGTTCGAAGTGCGTCAGAAACCATTCAGCTGACAGAATATGTCTCATGGTTTCCAGGCAAAAGACCGCTTCGGCTCAAGATAAGTCGTGAAGATTAAAAAGAAGCGCGTAGTTGCAGAAAAAAAAAATGCGAAGCTGAACTATTTTCCGAAGGCGAGCTCTGTTTCCTAGTCCGTTTCTTGAACTTCAACCTGAAGAGGATGAAGGGACGTTTAAGCATTTCCAACTGGAATGAATAAGCTAATTTTTGGTGAACTCCTGAGAACCAGGAGATTTACGTCAGCTGCGGCTTTTATTCAATTCATGCACCATATCAGGACGTCTGAGGATAATATTAAATTCCTCAGATGATGAGGACTTAAAGGTTATTGTCGGACCATAATCCAAGACTGCTGTTCCTTCGATTGATAATGCAATACTGAAGAGTTTAATTCCTTGCCATGATTTTCCTAGGAAACCCATTTTCCTTGTAATAGCTGAAGAGAAGGATAAAATGGCAAGTTAAATTCTCGGCTGTCAGTTGAATACTTCATGAGATAGTGGTTAGTTTTCAGAAACATGCTCAATTAAATGTGGAGTGGCGCGTAAGCAAACGCAAATCAAGGGGGTTTAAACATTCTCAATCAATATCAATGCTCAACTTGTTATAAATGCCGCGAAGAAATCAATTGATAGAAAGGTCAGCGCAAATTATGGTACTGGTACTTGCACTATGAGGGGAATCGGGCATATCTCCACTAAGCATTACGGTTGATGACGATCCTCCGAATCTTTCATTGATAACATTTGACGCGTACAGAAAATGCTGAAAACGATGAAGGAAATGCGCGTTTCTATGACCTGATATACGTCGCGGAAGATATTTCCTGTACTGGAAAATGTCAATCTCACAAAGCGACCGCGAAGCTTCATTTCCCTCCTCAATACTTCCGTATCATGGACGGAAGAAAGCTGGCAACGGTTCCTTCGTTCATCCCTACCACTCAATCATGAATGAATCCGCTGTAAAGAACGTTCAGCCACATGCCAAAGTTCTCCTTTGTTTTTACAACTCGAAACTGCGTATGAAAGAACAGTGAGAAAGTGAATCGCATTCTGCTACAAACAAACCTTTGAAGTTAAATTTTTGTCAGTTTGTAAATTGAAGAACCTTTGGATTCCAACGTACGACAGGTGTCTGATTTCGATGTGCTCTCCATTCTTCGATCTCACGTTTCATTTCGAAGTGGGGCATTTCATATTAGTTTACTGGGAAACAATTTCGGGATTTTATATTTATCCTCCATATTTCAGTTTCCTGTGCTATAGACATGTTCAACAGTGGATGATATAAGATTTTAATTATCTGTAAAGTTCTTAGCGCATTAATTGATGCGTGCAACAGTATCTGAAGCAGTGTGTCTCAATAATGGATGTAATTTCCAGTCATCCGAAGGCTTGAGCCAATTTCTTTAAAAATTTTGTAAGCTGAAACGTCACGGGAATTCGTGAAATATGTCCACTTTCAATTTTGGCATGGGTGGAACAGGCATCGGCCTAAGTCCTGTTGTAAATTTGTTTCCTTACATATGCCGGAGTAGTAAAATCTGGTGGAAAGAAATAGCAAGCAATTTACCAGGCCTTGGGAGATCCTTTTCAATTATCTACTCAAATAAGTGTGTACTGATTTAAATTTAACTTCTGGTACTTTAGTATGATGGAGAAAAGTTGACTTTACGCGGAAAACAGACATCCCTGGAATGTCAGATATCAAGATTGGGGGTGGTGAAACTGTCGACGATGTGAAAACGTTTATGTTTCTTTAAACCATTCACGTACCACAAAAAGTACGCTTATACAGCCTGACGTAGCTGCCGCATTCGTGCGTCCGGGAATCGGCGATTTTCTGTCTTTTGAAACGCAAACAACACGTCAAATCCTTGGGATTGACGGACAAGAGTGAGCCCTGCGCAGCTAAATACTGTTCCGTAGAACATTTGACGCACCCGGGGAAGGAAATGCGACCCCAGCCACGCTAGATTGACAATCCCGACATGGCGAGACGCGTTCATCGGTTTGCTGGCTTATCGATAAATTGCATGAAAACGAAGGCGGGAAACGGCGCTGGACCCTTGCCAGGAATAATCGCGTCCCTGACTGGAAATTTCCCGCTTTTCTTTATTGAGTGCGGCCGCGCCTATTGTAGCAGGAACCAAAAGCCGTAAAATCATTTCGTTCCGAAGATCGATGTTTCACTTTACGAAACTGACGTGCGCTCCAAAAACCAATGAATGTTTAATGCAAAGGAACCTCTGGCCCTCTTCTCTTGTTTCAGCTGAAAAACGCGGCCGCCAATGTTCTCCGGGAAACTTGGCTGATATACAAGTACACCAAGTTGGTCCGGAGAGTGAATCCTGCCAGAGTGAGAACTCATCAGAGAAAATTCCTCGTCGCTATTTATAAGTAAGACAATTATTGTAACCAAGCTTGCAGACGGTTCCATCGCATTCTTTCTTTTCCTGTTCGTAGTCTGCGGAAAGTGAAGATGGACCAAAGGAAGCTGATGGATAACGCTAACACGATCACGGACATGGCTAAGGTGAGTTTCTTGCTACTTGTCAAAAAACGGATGAGAAAAATGTGTGGGATTCTCTCCTTTGTCTCTCCGCAAAAAAAACCTTTCCATGTGTGTCATTTAGTGCGGCAGTTAAAACTGCTTTTGCTTTCTCGGCGATGCCCTCAATTCGTCTTTACATGGTAGCATTCATGATGCAACATCACACGTAGAAATAAAAAAGTGTCCAAAGCTGGTCAAAATATAAATAAATAAATAAATATTGTCTCATCCTCGAGATCTTCCCTTCATTTTTTACGATTCACCAAAAAAAAAATCGTGGAAATAAGACTCTGCGAATAAAACCAAACGTTGCAGAAGGAAAACATGAGAAGTATGAAGGCTACGAATGAACGGAGTTCTTCGACACGGAAAACTGACTCTCACAGCTGTTTTCTTGTCTAAACACAATCCTTTATATCTATTGTTTCCTGCGCAGAAGTCCTTCCCAGATCGAGTTTGCTCTTATAGGCAGAGATACGAAAATACGTTAGTAACCTATTTATTGGTTCGCTTCTCTTGGCGGTATTTTTTTTATGGAGAAGTACGGAGTAAGTCTTTTTTATAACTTCACGTTCTTAGGAAGTTCGACGTCTCCTTTCTTCAGTGTCGTACATGATTTAAATTTTGAAACTACAGCAAGTACATCTTCTACGTTAAATTTCGCGGGAGAAATGCAGCTCAGCACTGGAAGCTGTTGAACGGATTAGGAAAAAGGACTTAGGTAAATTATCGGTGCTCTGACGAAGCTATGACTGAAAAAAATGTCAAGCTTTATTTCTGAGTTTCAAGGGCTTGAAGAAAAGCAAACGAATGCAATTCAAGAAAAGCAAAAAGCAATACCCACTTTTGAATCAGCGGAGATGGAATAGAATGAAGAATTTCAGCTTACAAGAATACTGTAAGTTAGTGCTGCAAGATTTGTAATCCATCGACGATATGCTAATTTCCGCCAGGGGCGCTATCATTAAAATATATTTTATAATGTACTCCCTTGAGGATCTCTGTCCCAAGAGGATTTCCTGCTTCAAATGTCTCGGCACCACAAAACCAACGTCGTTTATCACGAGTCCACATTATACCGACACAAAATTGTCAGCTTGTCGCTGAGTGGACCACAGTCGGGGTTCATTCAGAAACCAAGGCTGAATTTTGCGACGGAAGCCTTATTTCAAGTGCAACCTTCATCCGTTGATGATGAAGCCCACCTATACATCGCTGATTAAAAGGGAAGCACGGCTCACCAGGAAATGTAGCCCCCGATAAATCTGTAATGAGGTGCGAACCACACGGACTCGTCCGAAGGAAATGTTGTCGCGATGAATGCTGGGTGCTATTGAATGAGCACCGTTATTTCCCGCGGTTCATCCTTGATGAGGACTTTGAAGAGGAGCCGCGGGAAATGAAGCGCATTACTGGGTCATTCTTCCGGTTCTCCGCTACTAATTAGTGTCATTCTCGTACCTCACAAGATCCTCTCTTACGAGCAGAAATATTGCCTTGCAACGTCTTGGTCGAAAGAGGAAGAATAGGGTTATCTTCGCGGAGATTGGATTCGCTCACATGCCGTTTTCTGTCGATTTTCCAGCGCACGAATAACATATTGGCTCGGGATTCCTCATAAAATTCTTTCTAGTCTTCCCCGAATGTCCCTGCGGGGGGTTTCTCAAAAATGGCTCATATGCCTTCATAGAGGAGCTGACAGAAACGCCAGAATAATTTTAATTGAATCATTCTTCAAAAAATAGCAATTCTCAGCCGTTCATCAGCGGAAGGAAATGAGAAGCAGCCATACATTTTCATCTCTTGAAAATTTTCGAGCGTATACAGAATATTCGAGCGAAAAACATTTAAAAATGCCATGCTTCTGTTTTTTTAACATTCTTTCGGAAACTTCACTCCATCTGCTCCTGGGGTTTCGAAAAAATTGCTTAATTAAATCTGCGGAACCAGCCACAGTTTTAATCAATCGCCTCTTAACAGTTTTTTATAAGAACAAAAAGTATTTATATACTGTACATGGATAATTTTCTTCCACATTTTTTATAAACCTCCTGATGACATTTGCCCGATATGTTTAACTCTCTTTATGAGCGGATCTTGTGATTTTTCGTTATTTAGAGAAGATGAGATACTGTGCAACCCAATTCTAGTTTCGAAAAGTAACGCATGCCATATTTTCATTCAAAATTTTCGAACGTCCATGCAAGGAAAAGTTTTGTCATGCTCATCCAATGACCGTAATTGAGCAAAATGCTTCATTGATTAAAAATAAATTGCTAAAAATGACGATTTCTTTTTTATTCCCTTTGCTCAAATAAACTCAGAAAATTATTGTAGACATTGAAGAAATAAGTTGCATGGTTTCTCTCATTTTGTTGTCAAACTTGAGCCTTTTTCGGCTCGTTAAGTTTGACTTCGAACTCTTGAGTTGGCTTCATGTTGAATGCCTCCCTCAATTGGAAGCAGTTTGTTCTGCATTTCTTCATGACGCAATCAATTGATGGAAGTAGCATCGATCTCAATTACGTGGAGCATTGTTATTACAAGCAGACATGTCGTGCATAGACGAGGTTGCTGGTTGCTGCTGTCAGTAAACCAACTCTTTCACCGGCCCTGGATCGGCATTGTGCTCCTCCTTTATTCTCTCCTATTGTGCCAACGCTCGGTTCGGGTGTCCGCTATGAAAGCAGCTATTACTTCGTTGTTCTGGTCTCATTTGTCGAACCCTTGCGAAGGAATGAAGGCTGTGGGGTTGTAGCGTGATGACGGAAACCGCGTCATATTTCTTCGCACAGCGTCAGCTGGAGTGCTGAAGGTTTTCCGCTGTCATATTTGATGGCCTGTATACTTGGTGAAGAATTCTGCCGGAAGATTACGTGGAAGAAGACTCTGAGATTTGTTTGATTTGAATAATTTTCACGATGGTTTTTTTTTGCTCATTTTCTGGATTGTAATTCGAGCCATTACATTGCTGCTTTCACATAAGCTCCTATATAAATTTGATGTAACATCAGAGTGTGGAATTTCAGGACGAACAACTTAGTTTAAATTTCACGAGTTCTACAAACATACTTCTAACATTCATCTTCCAATAAATCACGGTATTATCTGTGTCTCGAACCGAAGAAGAGTCTCCATTATATCCTACCAATGCCCGTTTTCCGCGTCTTCAAATTCACTTCTGCGCAAAATTTTAAATTGTTTTCTTAGGGATCCTTGCACAGAGGATCAGCTCTATAATAGAAAGAGAGATCGGACCACTGGACAGGTGGTCTGCATACCACCCATGACCTGCAAACCTGTTGGTTGAAGTATAATTCAATTAATTCGAAAACAGTGGCTCATTGAGGCGTGTTGATAAGGGTAGGGATCCTTTATGAGTGAGTTTCAGCTGTCTGAGTAATTTTTACCCGCATTGTGCCTCGAGAGCTGAAAATAAACGAATTGCGCTACGAATCCAGCACTGGATTATGTCACGATTTTAATCTGGTATGATTTCCTCTTTCTTCTCTCTGTCTCTCTTTAATCTGCAGACACAAAACACGGTGTACGAGATAGTATCAGATTTAAACCAGCGACAGGAGTTACTGGAGGACCGGCTGTCCGCCCTGGAGGACAAGGTCCAGCACCTTGCTGACCAGATGGATGCTCTGCCTGACTCCGTAGCCCAGAAGTGCGTGATAGCCGTGCAGCAGCAACAGCAGCAGCAGCAAGTGCTGCTACAACAAGAGCTGGCGCCACCAAGCGTGTCGCACGCGAAACTCTTGCACCCAGAAATGGCTCGTGCGGCCGGGGCCACGGCGGCTGTCGCGCGCCCACCGCCACCCACACCACCCAGACCCGCGCCACGGTAGATTTACGCCTGGGAATGCCAGGAGAAGTCACTATTTGAGAACTGAGGTCCCAGGAAATTTCCGAATGGACTCTTTTTTTTTAAATCACTTGCACTGATTGTCCAAGCGTCGCTGCTTCCACGATTTCTTCGTCGGATCCCTCTCTTAAACCAACAATTTTCTTGCCCTTTTCATCGCATTTCAGCTCCAGCTACCCAGCGAACAATCTTTTTCTATCAATTTTCTCCATTTTCCGAGCATTCACTTTGCTTTCTATTTTCTAGAATTCACCGAAAAAACAAAGCAATAAATAAAGAACGTCTCTATCTCCCTGAAGATCGTGGAGTTGGCGCATGAATTTCTGGGAAGCCCCTTGGCTCTCTCGGGTTTGCCAACCGTACCTGAGAAGAGATCCCAGGTAACCCGGCTTCTTGGTGTGTGTTCGGAAGCCGCCCGCGCGGGAATCGGCATGCCAAAAGACAGAGGAAGAAAAAGAAAAAGAAAAGCGCGGAAAACCCTTGGGTCAAAAGGTCCCCGCGGCGAACAACGCGCGTGCTTCTCGAGTATAGGCCGCCTCTCCCAGCCGCCTCGGTCCTGTTTTCGCGTAATCCGTCCACTTTGAGTAGGAGATGAGGCAGTAGAAGATGCACGAGACGCCGATGCGAGGCGCCGCTTCTGAAATGATTTATCGAGGATCTCAGGTGCCGTCGGGGACCGACCGGAAGGGACCGCGACACGAAGCGCTTGCATCAGGTTTTCAAAATTTAATTACCTTCTTTCGGCCGGCTTGAAAATGTACGCCGGCATTCTTCGCCCCTCGCGGCCCGTAATGAAGCATTCCTTGGGCGAGAGAAAGAGAGAGATAGAAAGAGAGAGAGAAAAAGCGGTGCCGACGCGATCCCTTTTCGCGTGCATTTTTCGTTTTTGTTCTGTTTTTCTTTTTTGCACGTGGTTCGACCCCGATCTTAAGGATGATTGCGAGCGCAAAACGAGGACCAGTACGCTGTTCCGGTCCCAATTAAAGCTGTGAGTCATGGCAACTGTCCAGGATCGAGACAGGATACGTTTTTTTTTCGACCCTTGTTTTAATTTCTGTGTTTGAGATGTCCGTAGCGTTGAAGCTATGTCAGTTGATGGTGCTCTCCGGAATGACTGGCGGAATCGCCGCGTGCACCATGTTCCCAGCTGCCGAGTCGAGGGAAATGCCCATCAGTTTTGGGCGCGATATCACCCAGTAAATTGTGTCCTTTGCCCGCTTTTAATCCCCTCTTCTCCATTCCTGCTTCGGGACTGTGTGATGCCACGCAAACATGAAAGTACCATTGCAAGCCTTGGAGTACTCCTCGAGTGTGCTTGAAAGTTATGTTTTTTAAAGTTTATTTTGTCTGGTTGCTTTCGACTCGCAGTCCAGGAGGAGGAATATTGCTTCCCGCGTCACGTACGACGGGGAACGCTTGTGGTAGTTCCCGGCATGGGCCTGTGCTTGAGTTCCGCCTTTTATTCTATTGCCATCCGGTCTTTTTTATATGAATGATTACGGTTATGGGCATTGAGGAGAAAAAAGAGAAACCATTGCGCCACAAATCGTGTCTTTCATTCTTGTCTAACCCGCGGCGTGTCCGGGGCTTATGCATTTTCTCCCTTCAAATGTTGCATATAGAGCCCCACGGAATTCCGCTTATTTGTTTCGCTGCAGCGCAACGACACGACCCTTGTGCCATAAATTAGTGCGAGAGGTTTTCGAATGCATATACTGTCAGGGCCACTTGTCTACAGCGTGAAACGCGAAGCAATGCAGCGCCAACCGCCATAAATATTTCCTGTCGATTATTTGCGTTCCCCAGTTTGAGGGTTGCTGTCGGATGTACATATCAATGCTGGCGGCCTTGGCTCAAGTACGAGCTTGCCATTAGCTGCAGATCGTCTGATGGGACGATGAAGGCTGCAACTGTATTATAGCGACATCTAAGATATTTATGCAGTAGCATGCTGAAGAATTTGCGTAAAGGTGTCGCTCGCTGCTCTTAATCGCTACTTCGGCACTGGAACATTTGGAACGGGATTCATTTTTATTTACCACGTTTTTACCACGTTTTTATGAACTCACTTTCTTGTCTGTCTGTTTGTCCGGATCAAATTTTGAAACTCAAATTTCACTCACTTCCAGACTAGCTAGCAAGCTGAAACTTTCAGGATAGCCTAGAAACTGATGACAATGCAATCTTCTGTGCTTTTTGGCACACTATGAGCAGTTTAATTAGAGTAATTACAGTTAATGACCACAACACAGCAAAGGCGACACCTGGAGAAGGCGCGCCAAGTGCAAATTGGTGCGCCTTCTCCAGGTGTCGCCTTT